ACACACACACACACACACACACTATATATATATATATATATATATATATATATATATATATATATATATGTTTACTTTTCCTTGTGTTTATCTTTGATGTATTGAAGGGCACGATTTGTATATGTCGCAATCAAACTCTTTAGGAGGTATATTAAAACATACCAAATCTGTTATTTACATGAAGATAGCACGCATATAATCGTCCTATTTTTTCGGATCAAATCTCGAAATCTTGATTGCTGAACGTATATATATTTTTCTTAGTCATGTAGATTTTCGGATAGGAGTATGATTTAGCTAAACCGTCCACTCTTTCCAGCTCTTAACATCTCAAAAGGACAAACTCTTTTAAGCAACACGCTATTTGGATGCTTCGTTTTGACGTTCAGAGTTTATTTTTGTTTCGCTCGAATTTATGATACGGGTCTGCTACTAGCAGATTGTCTTTCTAACTCTCTTTTAAATACCTTGAGTGTCCTCATCGTTGCCACACACTGCCGTACACAGCATACGTATGCAAATAAAACGTTATATATGACACCATCTAGTTGCCTCCTGCGCGAGCAGCTAGCATTTCGTTGTGTGTCAATACATCGATCTCACGGCGACCGGTAAACATACCCTTCTGACTGGCTCCCTTGTTGTTACCAGCCTGCTGACTGGGGGTGAACTTACCAGCATCCAACTGTTCCTGCGAGAAGTTACGCTCATTCTTCTCGGCGATCTTGGCACCCAAAACAGGTCCTTTAAAATTGTTCTTCTGTGCAGCTCGACCGACGGCGTGCAGTGTGATCACAACCTGGCCCATGTTCTTGTCCTCGAAAAGATCCACAGTCGCAAACAGGTCTGCAACCGGTACACCATACGCAGTTACGGCTTCCAGGAAGCTATTGATGTTCTCCATCTGTTTGAAGGCCATCTTGCTCGTGTTAACACGCTTGACGGCTCCGTCCTTAAGCGTGTTGGCTAGGTTACATAGTACCTGTCCATCCTTTAGGAACTCGTGCACACTCTGACCCTCAGCAGGTGACTGGTCAGTCACAGCTTTGAGCCACGCCATCGCCTCAGCCTCAAGTGCGAAGTCGTACTTGGCGGCTTTCTTGGCCTCAAGATCGGCATCCAGTCCGAAAGCTGTGTGTTTGTTAGCCATTTTGAAGTGAGGATTTTAATCGATATCAAACAGGAAGGAATGGATTCAATAAGAAGAATGCATCTAGAATTTATACGCAGGATTCCTGGCTTTGGGTGTGGAAAACATTTTAAACAGCTTCAGTTGATTTACTATAGGTATCAGGCGGTGACTGACTATCGTCTGGCGATCTGTCAATATTGTCGAGTACTTATGGTGAGAGATGGTGAGATAAGCAACACTTGATAATTTGCGTGTGGAGATCTGCGCGATTTGTGCTAGATTTGATTGGTCAATAGAATTATCGCCACGGTATATAAATAGATACGACTGTTACAATCCAAGGTTGCACTCCGACAACATCGTACGTAAACGGGAAACCATAACACAGTGCTGATGGTTTATCTCGGCGAAATGTAGTCATTGTCCGAGAGAATATGTAAACAGGAACGAGAACAAGATTCTATTCATATTTAAAAAAGAAAATAAAATAAAAATCACAATCAAAAACATTATTGACGATGTGTAAACAAATATGTTCATTATTTCAAAAATAAACAAATAATATAGTTTTTACTGTCGCCACTCGCGCCGACGCCAGACTCCAGTCACTCCACTGATTCGCCGAGTGCACTCACTCGCCACTCGCCAGTCATAGTAGTGTCCAGAGTCCAGACTCCAGAGCTATACGTAATGTCAAATCTGGAGACTTTTTTTGCGGGACAATTTTTCACCGGACCTAACAGCAGCAAAGCCAGGGTATGTATCTATGTCTGCTTGTCTATAGCTGCGGCCATTTGTATGCCAACAACGAATAATAAGGTATATTCCGACAATAAATACATACTTCGCACACTTGACATCCCTGAAATCGAGATTGACGTTTACTTTGCTTTAGTGTGTTTGCTCCATCCCTGCAGTATTCAGGAATATTATAATGTACATACTTCTATGACTCACTGCGTGTGTATGTGCTCAGCTACAACACTTAACATTATCTCTGCGTGCTGAAGTGTAAGTAGTTACGACGTACCTGCAGAACTAGGCATAATTGTTCTTTCACATGATTACATTCAAATAATGTTTGGATTTTAGATTTGCATGCTCACGGAAGATAGTATGTAAATAAGGGATGATATGTACTCTGCTCATGTATGCGAGACCTAAATCGCACTTCCTTGTGTTATTAAATACATTTACAAGCGAACATATGCTATATTGTGTGCATACTGTTATACACAAATTAGATACAGGTACATCAAATTTAATTCAATGATTAAATCACAATAATAAAACGTTTACAAGTAATTATATTCAAATATCTGCACACTCACATATTCAAATAATACACTAAAACACTAAAACACTACAATATACATACATACATACATATACATATACATATATATATATATATATAATATTCACAAACACACTCATGTATATATATACATTAATGTTTAAACACACAGAAACACAGACACACACATGTATATATA